GCCCGGGTCCACTTCTCGAAAAATTCCAAAAATCACACCAACGGATTCCTCGTCTCGCCACGAGTCCGTACATATAAAGTTTACCGAAAACGGAGCTCAAATGGCCTTTCAAATCCTAAAAATTCGTTTTCAAAAACCAAGCCCTAGTTCTTCACAATTTCTACCCACTTTCATGAATTTGAGTGTTGATTCTTCCATAAAATGGTGTTTTCTAGTCAAGAGACTTACCTCAAATCAATACCCGTTGAAATCCCCGTCAAAATCGATCAAAAAGCTCTCAAGGCGGTGTAAAAATGGTGGAAAAATGATGGGTTTCGCGATTGAAATAACCCTTAACACTATTCTGTCCGCCCAGTCTTTCCCCTATGCGATCGCAACACTACTAATGCGATCGCATATCACAATCTCAAACCTCCCAAAAATTCCTTCTACGCGATCGCAGNAAAAAGCTCTCTTGGCGGAGTAAAAATGTTTTCTTATCTTCTGAAATTCGCGAACACTGATTCATTAAAACCCTTCAGCAATTTTCGCTTCTGCGGTCCCGTAACCGCTTATGCGGGACCGCTTCTGCGGCCATATGACTGCTTATGCGGTTTTTCATTAAATCCTTGGCCTTCCGCTTTTGCGCCCAACCACCCGCTTCTGCGGATCTCACCATTCCGCTTCTGCGGCCTCGTTTTCGCCTATGCGGACACGCTGAAGCGATACCCCGTCCGCTTTTGCGGAATTACCCCGGTCCCTCATGGACCGCTTATGCGATCTCTTAGCCGCATCTGCGGAACCGCTTCTGCGGCTCCTTTTCCGCAGATGCGGAAATACCAGAAGCCAGGTGCACCAAACCTGCAACAAACATCAAGATTCTCCGTTTAACCACCCGAAATCACTCCGAGGCTCCCGGGACCTCAACCAATAGCACCAACACACCCCAAGACCTTATTCAAACTTGTTCCAATCATCAAAACACTATCGTTAACATCAAAATCATCGAATTACCACGGATTCAAGCCTAAGTTAAACTAAAACTTCCGAAACTTGCATTTGATCTAAAACCCGACCTAAACACCTCCGAATGATCTGAAACTTTGCACGCATATCCAAAATCACCTAACGGAGCTACTGCAACTCTCGGAATTCTATTCCGACCCTCGGATCAAAATCTCACCTACCATCCGGAATTCGCCAAAATCCAATCTTAGCCAATTCAAGCCTAATTCTACACCGGACCTCCAAATTCAATTCCGATTGCGCTCTTAAGTCACAAATCATCCCCCGAAACTAGCCGAATCATCGGAATTCCATTCCGAGCCTTCTAACTCATAAGTCAACATTCGGTTGACTTTTCCAAACTAACCTTCTCATAAAGAGACTTATTGTCTCATTTCTAACCGAACTCTAACTGAATTACTTCAAATTCTCCAAACACATATAATGACACATATAGAAGCATAAAACGGGAAAAACGGGGCGGTAACTCCCGTAACGACGGGTCGGGTCGTTACACTTGGAGTCTCCATCTCCACCTCTCAGGCCATAGTAACATGAATACCATAATGCAAGCCCACAATAAACCTCTACACTCTTTTTGCATCGGTGGGGAGTATCGTAAGTGCATGGCAGGACAACTCAGAGAACCTCGTCTCATAATCGGTCCCAGACATCTGACCCTGCTGGAGCTGCTCGAACTGACCCCGTAGCTCTTCCCTCTGAGAGGGTGTAATAATCTCTCCAGAAAGATGTGTGAACTGATCCCAAGTCAAGGGAGGCGAACCCGCTGGTTTGCTAAGAAGATAGGACCGCCATCATATACATGCCCTTCCCTCCAACTGAAATGTGGTGAAGTCCACCTCGTTGGACTCCAATACTCTCATGTTGTGCATCTTATCTCTACAACGGTCAATGAAATCCTGGGGGGCCTCATGTCGCTCACCGCCAAAGGTAGGAGGATGCAGTTTGATCCATCTATCCAATAGCTTATGCGGCTCGACGATCGCATCTGGTCTGAGCCCTGGTACAGCCGCTGCAACTGGCTGGGCTCCGCCCACAAGTAAACACCTGGGGTCTGATATACGGCACAGCGTGCCTTAGAGCCTGAGCCGTAGGGGTCTGTGTTCCCCCTCCCGCCTGAGATGTGGCTGGGTCTGCTGGAAATAAACCAGCCTGCGCCATAGAATCCATGAACTGCAACATACGACCTATGACCTCTTGAAATCCCGACACGGACATGAAATATGCCGGGGTCGGCTCAGCTGCATGCACCTCACCCTGCTCTTCAATGACAGGATCCTCCACTGGATTCGCTGGTAGTACAACGGGAGCAACTCTAGGATCCCCTCGCCTCTAGAAGGAGCTAGAGCCCTCCCCCGGGCTTTGCCTCGGCCTCTAGCAACAGGGAGAGCAGCTCCTCCACCACCGGGTACATCTTCCGCGCGCGTTCTCACCATCTGTGAGAGAATAAGAGAAAAATACATAGCATAACATCAATTGCACGATAGGAGATGAAGAAAGAGAAGTTTCCTAACACCCTATAGCCTCTCAAAAATAAGTACGGACATGTCCGCACCGATCACTGCTAAGCAAGCCAACGGTGAACTACCTATTTAATTTTTCATTTTTAATATTTTTTAAAAGTCTTTGATTTTTATTTAATACAGAAAAAAGGCAAATACTCGTAGTGATATAAAGCATAAACTAAACATGAGAGTAAGATGGTGAATTTAATAATCAAAACAATGAGTATCTATTAGAACTTCCCAAAACCCGGTGTCACAAGTGCACGAGCATCTAGTAGAATATACAAAACTCCCTAAGAACTACTGCCTGAAACATAATAGATAGAAACGATAAACATAACAAGAGAAGGCTCCGGGTGCTGCAGAACAGAGCATGAGAAGCAACTCACCACTAGGCCTCCACGTAATGCGGATGCGCGCTTGGACGAACTCCAGATGCACCTGTCTCAGAACCTACACAATATGTGCAGAAGTGTAGCGTGAGTACGTAAACAATGTGTACCCAGTAAGTATCTAGTCTAACCTCGAAGAAGTAGTGACAAGGGGTCGATATCGACACTTACTAGTGGACAATATACATAATGTACAAGAATATTAAATAGGCATGAAATACAACATCAATAATGGAATAAGAGGCAACAATTTAATGATTCTTTAACAAAATAACAATTTAAAAGTTCCCAAATTTCACATGCTAATCTCAAGTCCCTAAAACCTCTTACGTGATTGCCAAGTCCCTAAAACCTCTTACGCGATTGCGAGAAAGCCTCCGCGAACGCGAAGCACATGCCCTGCCAGCCTACACGAATGCGACCAGCCCTTCGCGAACGCGAAGGGCATTTCACCTGCCCAATCCCCAAGCCAAGCCTTCTTCACAAATGCGAGCCTTCTCATGCGAACGCGATGACCAGTGGGCCAGAGCATCGCGATCGCGATCTTCTTTTCACGAATGCGTAGAACAAAATCTACCGAGCCTAATTGCTTCATCGCGAACGCGTGGCCTTCTCCGCATTCGCGAAGAAGGAAACCAGAACAACAGATAGCGGATTTTTGAACTCAATTCCGGGTGGTCCGAAACTCACCAGATCCACTCAGGACCCCGTCCAACTGCAAACAAGTATATAAACATAATACGGACCTGCTCAAACCCTCGTAACACATAAAACAACATCGAAACAAAGAATCGCACTCCAAAACCAAATTAAATCAACTTATGAACTTCAAGCTCCTTAAACGCGGCGTATCACACTTAGACTACTCGAAATGACACCAAATTTTACGTACAAGTCATAAATCACAATACGGAACTAGCTCGGGGTCGAAATTCCAAACGGACCTCGATAACACCAAAGTTTACTCCAAGCCAAATTTAAAGAACTAGAAAACCTTCAATGAACCAACTTTCAATATTAAGCACTGAAATGCTCCCAGATCACCAAATACCCGATCCGAACACACGCCCAAGTTCAAAATCATCATATGAACCTATTGGAACCATCAAATCCCGGTTTTCAAGTCGTTTACTCAAAATGTTGACTCAAGTCAAACGTGGCCCTCCTAGGCTACGATTAAGAAACTAAGTGTTCCGATTTCAACCTGAACCCTTCCAAACCTACACCAACCATCCTCGCAAGTCATAAAACAGTAAAAACACATATGGGGAGTCTTATTAGGATCTAGAAAGCAAAACGACCGATCAGATCGTTACATCAATAGGAGAGATTGACGTATTTCATACTTCTTCAAATAGCAAAGATTCAACTTATAAGGAAATGATTAAAACTATCTTACGGGCTTGATCTTCATGGTCACATTAGGTTATATACTATCCTTAGGACTTTATCTTCACTTTAGGTTTTTCTTTTGTTTTTGATTTTCATGTACTTTGAAGACCCTTGTTAACAATTCTGAACCTCTAGTCCATACCATATAAAAATGTGTAAAAATGTGAAAATAGTATGGGCTAGCCAGTTTTCAGACTGGTAACTGAAAAATAGCCAGCGTTTGCAAAGCCATAAAAAAAATCATTATTTTGCTAAAACACGAAAAGTTGCACCATAATATGCTAGATTATGGAGCTCCTGCATATAAACTTCTAACATATTATGTTGAAATTCTAGCCAATTATAAAATTCTAGCACATTACGCTAGATCTCATATGCAAAAATTCGAACTCCAGCATCAGCATATTATGCTGGAATCTTTTCAGATTTTTAAGGGTGTTTTTAATCAGATTTTATCTTTACATAAAAAAATAGCTAAATTTCGATTAATTTTGAAACTGTGACTATATTTTTGTTACGAGTTGTAAATCTCGCTATTTCTGATTTTTTCCCTATAAAAATAAACAAACGAAGTTAATTTCTAGCCTTGCATTTCCATAATCGGATATAACTGTCTTCATCCACTCAATTTCTCCACGTCAGCTCGAATTTTCAGTTACAATTTAATAATCTACCATTTCTTTTTAAATCTTTTATTCTCCGTTAATAAAGTTTTTTCTATATTCAGTTTTTGTAACGACTTTATAGCAGTTACCAAAAAAGAAAAAAAGGGTAGAAGAAGAAAAGAGAAATGCTAAGTAGCAGAGTAACAGCAGCAATTTCTTCTTCTACTACTACAACTTTTTTATTTAATAACCCCAAAATCTTATCCAAAAAATTCCCTTACATTTCTAACCCATTGAACAATTCTGCAAAATCCATTAAATGGAATTGTAGGAATTCAAGAATGGAGAAATCTGCATCAAGTTTTGTTACTAAAGCTTCAGCTAAGCCCCTTACAAATCCTGGAGAATTAATTGATTCTGTTGAAACCTTCATCTTTGATTGCGATGGTGTGAATTTCTCTCTATACTTTTTTGTATTTGATTAATTTTATGTTAATTTGTGTATCAGTTCAGTGGTATTTGTCTTTGTCCCAGTGTTTTAGTAGAATTTTGAAGGAAGCTGTAACCAAGGTGTTTGATTTTTTTGCTAAATTTATTTTGGGTGTGTTTTTTTGTGTTGTTATTAACTTGTTTCATGATATCGACAACATAGGATTAGTGGGTTAAATGACATTTATCAAAGAAACGGCGGCCCAGTGCATAAAGCTCTCGCTATGTTAATATGGCATATGATATAGATTGCATTAGAGCAGCCCGGTGCGCTAGTCATCCCGCATTTACGCAGGGTCCAGAGAAGGGCCGCATCCCAAGTGGTGTGATTTAGACAGCCTACCCTAATGCAAGCATTAGTTGCTACTTCCACGACTCAAACCCGTGACTATAGGTCACACGGAGACAACTTTACCATTGCTTCAATGCTACCCTTCTTGATATAGAGTGCATTGAATAACTTATATATAAAATGAGTATCTCGAATGAATACCCCTAAAGTATGATACTTTTTAACATTTCTTACATTTTAATGTAATAGTGGAATTGGCTAAATTTATATGTATTTTGGTATATGATGATGATATGAGTTCAACTTAAATGGAGAAGTGAGGATTCATATAGCTGCAACTTGTTTGGGATTAAGACGTAGTTGTTGTTGTTGTAGTGGAATGGCCTAAATGAAGTAATGTTAGGAAGAATGTGAGTTAAGATTTTTCCCGATATATATACATGTTGATCAATCTATCAATGTCCATATTGGAGACTGGGGCTTTGGTCAGCTATGTTGCGCGGACTCTACAAAATATTGTTGCACCCGTGTCGGATTCTCTAAAAATACACTGCTTTTGGAGAATTCGACACGCACCCGGCAACATTTTCGGAGAGTCCAAGCAACATAGTTGGTTAGTTTGAGCAGATAAATGTGGCAAGTGTATCAAAAGTAGGGGTATAAAAGCTGAAATAGATATTGCAAATCATCTCTATACAGATTACTGAGAAGAACTGTCTTGGTTGGACTCGTTGTCAAAAAACTCAGAGTCCTCAACTCAAAGCTTTTAGCTAGGGAACTGATTCAAATAGCATTAATCCCTGCTCTTTTAGACAGTAAGAGATCATCTAACTGTTGATGATCATGTTCAAAGTTTGGCCTATCATGATACATAGAATTTTGAAACAAAGCTTAACTTGTGACACTTTCGCGGAAAGAAATAGGAAATAGCAGAAAAGCTTTAATTACATCCCTTTTCTTCTTGGCATTTTCAATAGAGGAGACAGTCTAGGTTTCTTTTCCTTTCCATCGTCATCTTTGTCTCTTAAAATATCCCAAGAATGAATGTTGGTTTTGTGTTCCTAAAATGGTAAGCAAAAAGGTTGAATAAGTTACTTAAACTAAGGTCCTTTTTTCCTCCGTTATCTACAGGAGTTATATGGAAAGGAGATAAACTGATAGACGGGGTCCCTGAAACTCTGGATTTGCTCAGAGAAAAGGTTAGTGTTTCTAATGTTGGGATTCTTTGTATACTTACATTTTTGCTCATTGCATAAGAGAGACGGTGGCGTACAAAATCATCTACAAGAAAATTGGCTGCTCTATCTAACTTTTGGATAACCCCATTCTCCAGGGAAAAAGATTAGTTTTTGTTACAAACAACTCAACAAAGTCCAGAAAGCAGTATGGGAAAAAGTTTGAAACACTTGGTCTTAGTGTCAGCGAGGTAAGTTTATGACTTTTCTAGTTCATATTATATTGACTAGTGAATCAATAGTTCTAATAGCAAGTCACTTCCCAGGAGGAAATTTTTGCTTCATCCTTTGCTGCAGCTGCTTATTTGAAGTCTATTGACTTCCCAAAAGATAAAAAGGTAAGCTTCAATTGAAAATCGACTGTTAAACGTGAAAGCTATCTGGTGCATAAAAGCTACAATATTATGGATTTAAACATATTGCTGAAAACCTGTACTGTTGTCTTAAGAAGCTGAGATCCATTATCAGCATCATAATTTTTCACCTACTTGTTAAATTGGTGGCCATTTTTAAGGTGTACGTTGTTGGTGAGGAAGGCATCTTGAAGGAGCTTGAGTTAGCTGGCATTCAACATATTGGTGGACCGGTATGTACAAATAAATAAAAGTCCTTTCTACTTTGGGAATGAACTATGATATATCTTATTGTTAATAGCTTTTGGCTTATGATAGTTTTTCACTTTTTCACTTCAAATAAATCAACCAATTTTTAACTAACCTGTGGGACTTGAGATATGTTATGTTCTCATCTTGTGAAGCATACTTGTGGTATGGGATTCTGTCTGATGAAATAAGATGGTTGCCCTGTGCTTCGTGTGTGTAGCATAGCCAAATAAATGATCCTTATCTAATCGAAAGCACTATTAAATTGAAGTCCCATAGTTGTTTTATAGAATTATACTATGACCATTGTTTTTAATTGAATGCATATCTTTCATTTTGTAAATCTTTGTTATGTCTTTTTCTTTGTCGAGTATAAAAATGTTGTACTTGACAAGAATAATCAGATAACAAGACTTGCAACAAAAAATAGGAAAAAAGGAAAGAAAGAAAAAAAAGAAAGAATACATATTATTTTGCATCTTTCAACCAAAATTCATGTTTTTCTTTGAATTTACTCCAAAGAAGTATTGGAGACTCTTTTCAAAAAGAGACAAATGGAATGAAGAGAAAGAATAAGTGCATCATGTTGTATTTTGTTTGATTATTCCAACAGTAGGGGGTTCAACAAATTACTAAAATGCATAAACTGGCATTTCCGGCATTCCCTTTTGTGAAAACACCCAATTTTGGTTAGGAAAGGTAACCAAAAAACTGTCCTTTTTATGGTAAAAAGAGAAAACAAATGTATATATGGGAAAATTAGGTTCCATATGGATTTATATGGCTTCAATCACTAGGTATACTCACACAAATAAATCCTTACGTTTACTTGCAAAACAGTGGAGCTACAAAGACATTTGCTTGATGCCTTCTTTGGCCTTCCTTTAGTACCAGATTGACTTTTGAACTAAATGGTATGTTTTCTTTTTTAACAGGAAGACGGTGACAAGAAAATAGAGCTAAAGCCTGGATATATGATGGAGCAGGATAAGGATGTATGCTTCATTTCTTGCTTCTTATCTTATTTTGTTCTTGTCTGTGTTCTACGTTTAAATTGGACCAAGTTCTACTATCTTTTAAATATACCCTGCTGAGTTGTGTCGACACGTTTCAGGTCGGAGCTGTTGTTGTTGGATTTGACCGCTATTTCAACTACCACAAGATTCAGTGAGTTATCCTTTTTATCTTTTCTGTAAATATTCCCTGCCACATACAGTAATATCTAACAGTATGATTACTTTGTTTCGGTAAATTTGGATGCCATGATGGAGTTTTATGCTTAACCAATAATGAGCTTATGAGTTTTTCTCATGCATTTACTCGGATTCTATATACTTAACCGCTCATATAGTACCTTTTCTTTGCTCAAAGTAATACTTCCTGACCTGTTGATATCACATCTCTAACTTGCTTTCTGTAATGAAGGTATGCTACCCTGTGCATACGTGAAAATCCAGGATGTCTCTTTATTGCTACAAACCGCGACGCTGTTACCCATCTCACAGATGCTCAGGAATGGGCAGGTTATTCCCGTTTTATGCTTTAATGTTGTCATGTGAGTTAACCGTTTATTGTAGAAAGTTAGTTGTTGAACCCTTTCTCTGTTGAACTTAGTTTCATTGTCCCGAAAATATATGTTGTTAAGAACTAAACCATCAGAACTTTCATCAGATAATGTCACATGTCATGTTCATGCATTGTGAGTGACTCGATATTTTCATGGTCTGGAGGTTGGATTACATGAAAGAGATTAACGAGCATGTTGAAATTACACTTTGTCCCATGATCAATTTGTCTTCAGTCACTTACCTTTATGGATCCAAAGGAATCTTATGTGGCAGAGGATTTTTATTGACTTAAAACATCTACGGTATTTTAAGGGAATAAAATAACTAAAAATGGAAGCTTTTTCATTTTTATGACCAGATGGAAGGGAGAATATTTGTGTAGCAGTTTATGTGTCTTCTGCTTTGATCATTCTGTACAGTCATAGCCATCAAAGATTTTTTCCGTCTTCATACTAAGCTGCATCCTTGTTGTTCTGTTGCGTTAGGTGGTGGTTCAATGGTTGGTGCAATCCTAGGCTCTACAAAGCGTGAACCGCTTGTTGTAGGAAAACCGTCAACCTTCATGATGGACTACTTGGCTAATGAGTATGGCACCTCACTTTCTACGATTATATCTGTTATTCTTTGTCTTCTTTTCCTTCTTTCTGGATCATCGTCTTCTGCTCCCTTTTTCTCTCTTTCTGGATCATCGTCTTTTGCTGGCTCTCTTCTGCCTACAGGTTTTTGGTGTGTAAATATGCAAGCTTCTTTTAGTCAACAAGGTTTTTATAAATTAGTGAATTGGCAAAATCAAGTTAACATGCAGGTTATTATGTTGGATTTGCTTTCAATCTAGTAGATTACACCAGAGTTGAAAAGTTAGTACTGCTCCAAAAGCTCGTCAATCCAAAAGTGAACTTTTAGCTATAAAGATTAAATAGCTATAAATGCAGGATTTTCTCATTACAAGTACAGGTAAATGAAATTTTAACTTGTCTAATTAAGACCATCGACTCTTCACCACTGCTCTATAATCACTAAAGGTAGCCGGTGCACAAAGCATCCCGCGTTCACGCTGGGTCCGGGGGAAGGGGCGCACTCCAAGGGGGTGTAATGTCGGCAGCCTACCTTGCCGCAAGCACCCGTGGCTGATTCCACGGCTCGAACCCATGACCTATAGGTCACACGGAGACAACTTTACCGTTGCTCCAAGGTTCCCCTTCGTTGCTCTATAATCACTGTGATTCATAATCCTTTCAACAATATACTTGTTTGGTTGGTAATGATACTTTATCATCCTATGACTCATGCTGCATCATGAGACTTATCACAATTATAATATCACAATTATACTACCTTGCTTCTGGATTAAGTTCGATAGGTGCATGCATTAGTAGCATCAAGATGACGCTAAAATTGCATGTGAAATAACGATACTTAGGGGTGTTCATAAAAACCCGAAAAACCGAACCAAACCGAAAACCAAATCAAACCGACCAAAAAAACCGATACTTTTTGGTTTGGATTGGTTTTGGTTTTGAATTTTAAAAACCGACCCTAATTGGTTTGGTTTTAATCAGAAAAAAACCGAACCAAACGATTATAGGAGTAGCATTTTCAAATTTATTATACACCTATATATATGTATATTGTTATACAAGGTTTTAAAAATTATGGTAAATGTTAATAGTTTGCACATTTAATATAGTTCTTTACCTTTACATTTTAGTTTGATTGGTAGTTTTCTTTTGTTTAGTGTAAGAATCCATTCCGTGTTAAAAATAACATATTTTTAATTGAGTCCTTAAATTATTCATCACTATTTGATTCAATTATCATCAATATATCTTGGTAAACAATAGATTTCTCAAAGGCAAATTGATTTGATAGTGTTACATTGAAAATGTGATCGCCGGAATAATTGTGTTTGGTAGTGTATGTCTTATATTTAAGAAAAAACCGACAAATAACCGAAAAACCGAAAAACCGACATAAACCGAATCGAGAAAAACCGACTTAATTGGTTTGGTTTGGTTCTAATATTTGAAAAACCGACTTACTTGGTTTGGTTTTTTTTAAGGGAAAAACCAATCCAAACCGAACGATGAACACCCCTATCGATACTTTAGCCTTGACCAGTTCCCTTAAATGCTTAAGCAGGTAATATTTGTGTCTCTCATAAAAGAAATAAAAAGAGTGATGATGAACTTTTTCTACTCCTATTTAAACAGTCAGACCAAATGACCTCATTAACATTTCAGACATTTCTCTTTGACTACAAACATTTAAGACTGATTAAAGATCCACATGATTAATTGTTGTACATGTTTGTGAATCAGTATTAGCATTGTGATGAACCAAGCATTTTGTTGATCCACGTGGACCCAAATTCTTCTATCATTTCCAGGTTCACATTCACAGGAAAAACCTGTCATTCTGTGGAATGTTAGAAAGTTCTTTAGAGAAATGGACCAGTTTTATTATGATTTTATCCAGTCTGTAAGGCGATATAAATCTGCATCAGAAGTTCGAATGTTTTATCTTAATCTTCTTTAATGGTATCAATACAGGTTTAACATCCAGAAGTCCCAGATATGCATGGTTGGCGACAGACTAGATACTGATATACTATTCGGACAAAATGGCGGTTGCAAAACTCTTCTGGTTCTCTCAGGTACCGGAAGGAAAATTTCTTCTTCTTTTAATAGGCATATGCTTCAAAGTTTGCCATCTAATACTATCTTTTGATCCTGATCTAGGTGTGACATCTTTATCGATGCTTCAAGATCCCAAAAACTCTATACAACCAGATTTCTACGCCAACAAGATTTCCGATTTCCTCTCTATCAAAGCGACTGCAGTTTGAGCAAATCCCCTGATTATCTCTATATGTGATTCCATTCTTTGCGACTGCTATGTATTTAGAAATGCACTTCATTTGTGCATCCACTTACCCTTTTAGTTAAAAGGTGGGAGCTTGAAACTAGGCTATATCTGAGAAACTACACATTGCTTTGTAAAGATTATCAAACCATATGAGCTTTTAAAAAATAATGGTTCTTGGAAAAATGAAGTCTAAGCTCAAGCACTTCCACTGTCAAGAGTAGTGACTTCTCTTTTCATTCATTTTCCTTTTTTATGGTTACCCATCCGGTGTCTGGTACCCATATTGGGGACCAAGTAAATCCGGATTCGCGACGGGAAGTCCCACATTGGGGGGTTAACATACTCCGGGACTCAAACCCGAGATCTCTGATTAAGGATGAAGGAGTACTTACCGCTCTATCACAACCCTTGTTGGTTTTCATTCATTTTCCTTGTTGGTGCATAATGATGCAAAACAATGGAAACGGCTGATAATTTTACATGACTGCTTATGTATTTGGCCAAGAAAAAAACTAAGATTGGAGTTTTAATCTAATAATTTTAACAGTGTTAATCTAAATAAAGAACTTCCTTTATTAGCAGCCAAGATTCAGCAATACTGTAATTTTTTCATTAAGTTTTTAATCAATACGTGATATTTAACAATTATATTTGTTAGGTTTGATAGAAACGGTGGGGAAAAAAAGATTAACTTAGATGCTGGGAAAGTCCCGTCGAATCCTAAAAATTATACAACACAAAAACTGCACAAAACACTTAAAAAAAAGGGAAAAAGGCCATTAATACCCCTGTACTTTTGAATATAGGCCACGTTTATCCCCCGTTACACTTTAGAGCCAAAGTCCACCTTACCGTTACTAAAGTTTTTAACATTACCCCTAACCCTAACGCCCGTCCAAGTGGCAGCTGACCCCATTCAATTTTTCCTACTCAGCTGCCAACTAAGCTGCCAACTAGGCCGCCAACTAGGATTCCACTAACCCATTACACCCAAACCCAACCCTACATTTAGTCCCCCATAACCCACGTTCAGTCAATTAATTTTGACACATACCCAGCGTCTTCTTCTCCCCCAAAATAAACTCCATTGCTAAAACCTACCATCCGACAGAAAAACCTTCTTCTATCTCAGAAAATCCTATCTATTTCATTGTCGTTGGTTTGGTTGTTAAATGTCGCAAGCAGCCAAATACTTCACTTCGTCTACTCCATATAACCCTGGAAGAAAATTCTACAAATGTTCGAGGCCCAAGGTTACCATATTTTTTCAGTTCTTTTCTTTTTTTTGTTGATAATTTTATTTCAATTTTTGAAACATAAATCTTCTTTTTGATTTATGCTTGACAGGCTAATTCATGTGGGTTTTGGGAATGGGAAGATGAAATCTTCCTGCGAAGCGATTGGACTAATATTAAAGATGTAACATCGTCGATTGAGGAGATTAAGATGCAAAGGGACAAATTGAATGAAGAAGTAATTGGCATGAAGGCTATACACCAATATGAAGTGGATAAAGTTGTGAAGTTGGAAGATAAACTTGCCAAGACAAAGATGTTGCTTATGATTTCTTGGGGATTGTTTATTGGATATTTTGTGGCCTCGATAATGAAGTGACTATTTAGCAAGGGACTTTTGATTAATTTAGCAAAGACAGTTGGATACCATACTATAACCCCAAAAAGATGTCTAACACCTAGCTATATCATGGCATCCAACTATCACAACTATACAACCACAACCAAAATATAAAGTTTACTGACATAGCAGTAATTACAACACATCCAAAAAATTACAACTGTTCACTATTCGAAGCAAAGTCCCATCACTTCTGCTCCTTACCACTACCCTTTCTTGCATTCAATTTCTTCAACCTTTGCTTGTTCAACTGATTTCCAGTGATGGCAGATCCTCCCAGCCATGTTAGGCCTTTTGCTGAGAAAGTAAGCTTTGAAGGCTGACTTGCACCACTTGAATCACCAACAAATCCAATTTGCCTGGTTGCAATTGGTATGCTTTGCTGCCTCAGCTGGAGTCTTGTCCTTACTTCTGAGATGCTCCTTGGCCTTAAAGCTATGTCAGGCTCAGGTTCTGTTGGAAGTTGCTGCTGAACAGACTGCTGAACAGTAGGGGTTGGCATGAAGACAAAGCTGCTGGGCTGACTGTTTTGACTGGGCTGGGGTGCTGATAAATTGAAGTCCTCTTCAGTTGGGATAGGTGCAACTGCTAGTGATGTAGGTTGTTCATTAACAGGTTCATCAACCATAATTCTTTGCTTTTTGGTCTGCTTTCTCTTTGAATTCCCAGTCATTGGCTCTTCCCCTTTAGAGTGCTATTCTCAAATAGAACACAATAATGTGTTAGAACAAGGCAGAAAAATAATTAGATGTAGGCACACTTATATATTGAACAAACGGAACAAGACACACTTAGATTACCTTGGCACAACCCCTAGCATTATGTCCTGATTCTCCACTGTTATTACATGTCATGACTCTCCCTTTTCTGGATTGAGACCATTGCCCTTGCCTATTGATTGACTCATTTGCCTCCCTTGTTCTTTTTTACTTTTGGTCTACCAGCTTGCCTCACAAATTCAGGTGGGTCCATATTCTGGGAGGGCTCTATCTTCCAAAACTTTTCTCCTCTCACAGGTTGCAACTTATGAGAATAAGTCTGGAGATATGCCTCTTTTGAAAGAAACCAATGAATCTCACTCAAAGGATCTTGCTTCTTGTACAAGAGTGCACAGATTGCATGAGGACATGGGATTCCACAAAGGTCCCATGTCCTACAAGTGCATTTTTTTGCTCCCAGATTGACAATATGCCTATCACTATCTTCTTTCACCTCATAACCTTGGTCAGCACTGCCATTGACATGACACTTTTGTGCAATCCTCATAAATTGGTTATACAAGTTTAGAGTCTTAGGGCTGTACTCACCTCCCCACCCCATAACTTCAGCTTCATTATCATTCAACATATTCATCACCTTGATTCTTATCTCCTCTAACATCTTTATAATTGGCTTCTGTCTAGCTTGCAGTATCCATGAATTGAAGGACTCAGTCAAGTTATTATCAACTGACTGGTTCTTGCAAGTTATATCAAAAAAGGCCCTACTCCAGCAGGTAGGTGCATACCTTAACAGATCTTCAACAGCAGCTTTGCCATCATCATCCACTTGGCTCATATTCTTCAACTGATCTTGGAAGTCCTCCCCATAGGTACTCCAAGCTGCCCACCATAGATATTTTTTGTACTCCCCAGAGCCCCATCTCTTGCACCAGTTTGCTTCTATGTGTCTAACACAAAATCTGTGGTGTGCCTCAGGAAGCACTCCAGAGATTGAGTCAATGAGGCCCTACATATATAGGAAATAAGAAGTATGAGAATCTATACTAAAGGAAAACTGCTGAAGTAAGAAAATAATAAAGGAAAACTAAAGTGTTCATACCTTTTGCATATCTGAGATGAAAGTGATGCCTTCACCCATCTTTAGGTCCAAAGACATTTGCAGAAGAGTTAAAAATCACTTCCATGTGACTTTTGTTTCTTTATCCACAATAGCCCAAGCTAATGGATAAAAGTGGTTTGCAGAGTCTTGACCAACTGCCACCAAGAGCTGACCCTTAACTTTCCCTTTCAAAAAAGTTCCATCCAACCCTATAAAGGGCCTCAAACCACTCTTAAACCCCATCTTCATTGCATTAAAACATATATACATCCTTAGGAACCTTCTGTTGCCTTCAGCAAGAGCATCCTTTGACAGGTTAACTACTATATCACTTCCAGGATTACTACACTTTAATTCAGTAACATATGCAACCAACTTGTTATACTCATCAGTAAAACTACCTTCCAGATTCTCCAAAATCAACCTTTTTGCCCTCTTACACTTTGACTCACTCACATTTACATTAAATGCAGCCTTCAAGCTTGCCCTCATTTCTTTGACCTTAATGGTTGGATTTTCTTGTAACCCTCTCTTGAAGTATTCAGCAATGGTCTTGGCATTTACCCTATGATTCTCATATGCAGGTTCACAAGTGTGCTCAGAATGCAAAATCCTAAATTCAGCCCCACCCCCTGAAGTATTCCTAGATATGTGGCATACAAAAAGGCAGCCACCTTCACAAATGTACCTAAGCCTACTTGTGTCACTTTTAACTTGCTCTAACCCATAACCATTTGCAAGTGCATACATATTTATAACTTTTCTNNTGGCCGGAAAACACTGTGCATCAAAAGCATGAAGGCTGCTGGGGCATTAGTCAGCCCAAATGACATAACCAGGAACTCGTAATGACCATACCGAGCCCTGAAGGCAGTCTTCGGGATGTCTGGCTCCCGAATCTTCAACCGATGATAGCCTGAATGCTCCCAATTCAATAATGCAAGTCAACATTATTCAGCTATGGATAAAGGGACCATACATTAAAGTATTATACGGAATAAAGTGTCCCTGCCCCACCCTTAATATTAATATTCTGATTCACCTCTTTTCTATAAAAAAATAATAATTTGGGACCACAAAATATTATAATCGAAACCCTAAACCATCAAAAGGCTTCCAATACCGGATGAGGCATATGCAAACAAAAAGAGTAAAGAAAGGTTTATTACTGTCAAACTACACGCAAGTGAATACAAAACCAAAACACACACTACCAGCTTGAAATTATCGTCAAAGAGAGGAAAAGTGAAAACCATAACCAACAAAGAACTATTCATTAAACCATAACTTCAATAAACACAAAATCAGAAAAAATTACAAACCATTTGACAACTACAAACACCTATCAACATCAAATAATCGAAAAAGAAAAGGGTTTATGAAAACCCTAACTCAGAAAAGGGTTTCTGAAAGGGATTCGGAATAGTTTTTCGGAAATATTTTTGGGATAACTTAAGATAAGAGATTAAACAAACAGAAAAAATAATTTTTGGGGCAAAAATCTCTTACCTTGCTTGAAATCGCCACTCTTCTCCAAGTATCTTGACCGGTTTTGACTCTCTTTTTTCTTTCAAGTACCAGAAGCTTCGACTAAATGAGTGAATAATGTGTTATCAGACGCGTTTAACATATTTATTTGATGGGTATTCGATTACGGGTTACGGGTTACGGGTCAGGTTGATTCGTTAATAGGGTTGGGTTTGGGTGTAATGGGTTAGTTGGCAGCCTAGTTGGCAGCTGAGTAGGAAAAATTGAATGCTTCAGCTGCCACTTGGACGGGCGTTAGGGTTAGGGGTAATGTTAAAAACTTTAGTAACGGTAAGGTGGACTTTGGCTCTAAAGTGTAAGGGGGGATAAACGTGGCCTATATTCAAAAGTACAGGGGTATTAATGGCCTTTTTCCCTAAAAAAAAATACGAAAACAGCAGAAATTACACCTCAAAAGGCTATACTAGACTCTAGAAATAGACAAAAAATAACATAAACTACAAAAATTATACTTGTAAATATGAGTTGCCGCTAATTCTTTTTTACAGTTCCCGTCAAATCTAACCGACATAGTTTGATTAACATTTGATGGGCAAACTTAAAAAATCGAAACTGCTTAGTGCATATTTAAGGGGCTATTTTGAAGCTACACTCAAACATAACGGATTATTTTTATCTTTTTCTCCAACTTCAGTATAGGTTGCAATTTTAAAATGAGACTTGTACTTCTATATATTTCTAAAAGATAAAACTACATGTAAACAAAAACAAAAAAAAATAGGACAATCCTTCAGAGTTAGAGAATTTTTCTCAGGTGAAAAAATACCAGTAACCTCGCATTATTTTAATACGCGTACTTATTTCCCTACTCTCCTAAAGACAAAACTACCCTCTTCAGTCCCGCTTGCATCGACATAGAAGACCGTGGGCACTTAAGTCATTTCAAATATATCAGAAGTGCCCCTCAAAATTTCAACCAATGCACGGCAAAAGACTCCATTTTTCTTTTCAAATACACTGCTCTTTTATCTCATCTCCTCAATTGAATTCATCAAAAACTTTCTGATCCAACAAAACACCAATCAAAATCCAAACCTAATTTCTTCACTGATCGATCGATTAATTATACAAATATAGCTATAATTAATACGCGCATTTACGCAATAATAAATTCGAGATGAATGGAGTGGCGGAATGCAGCGTTTGCCACTCGAAATTAGGAGTTTCGCCTAACACGAGAACGGTTTCTAAAGCTTACGATCATCATCGCACTGATGTGTCGTTGAAAACACGCGCTTTCAACGTTTTTTTGGTTGTCGGTGATTGCGTGTTGGTCGGTTTACAGGTATTAGCACTCCTTACTCTTCAACTATTAAGTTAGAAACTAGAAATAATCAGCTCAAGTTTTTTTTTTTTTGAAGTTTTTTTTTACATTTGTTGAGTAAAATATGCATATTGAAAGTTAACTGGTACGAGGCAAATCGCATGAGCTGGAAAAAGTGTGGTATTCTTAATACCTTTGTTGTTTTATCAAAGCCCTAAGGTTCTTAGTTTAGAATTATATAGTAGTCTCAACAACAACAACAATAAGTTATCAGGTACTTGTGTTGAGAGCGATTAAGTAATACATTGAGAGCAATACCACGTGATTTCTTCCCATCCATCTAAGTCTTGGTGGGCGGAGTTATCCGGTACTTGTGTTGTGGCGGAGGGAGGTACTAGGTACTCGGTGGAATAGTCCAGGTGTGGGCAAGCTGGTCTGGGTATCATCGTCATAAAAAAATACATTGGGAGCGATACAAGGTGATTTCTTCTCATCCGTCTAAATCTTGGTAGGCAGCATTACCTGGTACCTACGCTTGTGGAGGTAGCAGCAGGGGTGGATCTATGTAGGGGATTAGGGGTGGCACGGCACCCGGACGCTCGGGTAAAATTTTATTTATGTACTGCCACAGTTGAACTGCCAAATTCCCACACGCAGTGCTCAGTATCGAATCTCGTTGTGTTCTCAAGCTGGTGTATTTGTCCCTTGTGGTCCTAGTTTGCTTCTCTTCTTAATTCCTTCTATTTTTTTCAGTTTTATATTTCCTCTCTCTTTGTACAACCTCAATATTATTATTATTATTATTATTTATTTATTTATTTATTTATTTACAATTATATATTTGCTTCCGTTTTCTCATTCTAGATCTTCAAATTTTATTTCAATGTGATTTTAACCATTTTCTTTTTTTTTTATCCATCTAATGTTATATTTTTCTTGATTCTCAATTTTTTTTTTAGTGATGGCATCAATAAATGTAATATTAATCTAGCTATGTGTAGATTGAATAGGTATATTTGCTAACTTAAATTTTATTTTATTTTATTTTATGTTTTTTAATCACATTCAATAGAATTTGAATTGAGAGATTAGTCGAATTGGACAAAACTTATTCGGTTTTGGAAATCACGTACTCCCTACGTTTTAATTTATGTGAACCTATTTCCTTTTTAGTCCATACCAAAAAGAATGACCCTTTTCCTTATTTGGAAACAATTTACCTTTATCTAATGATTTATAGCCACACAAAATATATGTGTCTCATTTTACACCACAAGTTCAAAAGTCTTCTCTCTTTTCTTAAACGCCGTGCCCAGTCAAATAGGTTCACATAAATTGAAACGGAGGGAGTATTTATTTATGCCTTAAAAATTTCGATAAACTGAATTAAATTATTTCAAAATGGATCGGATTGAACCAAATCGAACTAATTCAAACGGATTGAACCAATAGAATATATACCCTAATTCAATCTCCTTCGCTAGTGATAGGTTTACATTAAAAATAGTGGTACCCGTAGTCATCAAATTCTGGATCCACCTCTGGGTAGTAGGTACCTGGTATGATATGTCGAGGTGTGGGCAAGCAGGTTGAGGCACCTGCATAAAAAAAATACATTTGGGTAGCAGGTACTTGGTGTGATAGTCGAGGTGTGGGCAAGCTGGTTGAGGCACCTGCATAAAAAAAATACATTGAGAGCGATTCCTAGGCATGTTGGGATTGATTGGGAAGCCTAAATTTTTCTGTATGATTCTGTGGTTCCAAGAGCTCTCCGTTTTAGCATTTTGGAGGTCCCATGTTCGGAACAAACCATTGAGAATAGTGGAGCTAATAAAAGGTTGGATAAAGGATCTGGATTATGTTGAATTGGATATTTTGGCCTATCCCTTTTATTTTTTCTTTGACTAAGGGTTGTTTATTATGATGTTTACTTCTGCTGGTTTTTCGCTTGATTGAGGCAATTGTGATTATTCTAGACTTCTTGTATAATTTGCTAAATTGTGCAAAACTATTGATATTAATAAGACGGAGTCAGCTTGGATTGTAGAAAGTAAACTGGCTCCAAAGATATTGATGGGTAAGCCTGTTGCATGATTTTAAATGCTTTCCGCGAGAAATACTGGTTAGCGGAGGTTTTGGCCAATAAAAGTGCGCCGCAGTCTAAATATCCTCTTTTAGTGAGGGTTGGTATTCGGTATGGCCTTGAGCTTTTGATATCCTTACTTTTTCCATGTTAAATATTGAATATTGCGAAGTTGTATTTCTTTAAAGAGAAATGTGTCTTAGAGTAGTCATTTTTCAGAACTGTGTAGTACTGGAATATTTTCGGGTTTCTTCATGTAAGTATTCTAAATTATGTTATGTAGGTACATTGAATAAAAGATATTTTCTTTTCTTTCCTTTGTTGCAGCCTATACTTGTATATATGTCAAAAGTTGACGGCAAATTCGAATTCAGTCCCATTAGTGTTAATTTCTTGACTGAGTTAGCAAAAGTTGCATTTGCAGTAGTAATGCTATGCTTACAGGTATGCTTTGTCTCTCGTCATTTCTTAACCTAATCTTTAACCTTCTACACCTTCAATTTTTCTATGAGCTTCTTCTCTTCTTTTTCAATATAACAAAATTCTCTACTGGGTATTGCTCATATGCATCATAATTTGTTCATAACTTCTTGATACCTTGGTAGTTGGTGTAACTATTCACTTGTTCTAAAATGTCTCAATCTTATGTATCATTTGAAGGCTCGAAGCCAGAAGGCCGGTGAGAAGTCTCTTCTCTCTTTCTCCACATTGTTCCAGGTAAATTTCACTAGGCTTATATAGATATGCAAGTCCTTGTAAAGTTGTGCCAAAAAATAAAAAAATGTTTCCACTGAGATGTGTCTTTTCATTTATGCAAAAGAATATACCTAATCTAGTTGATATTTGGATGATAGTTTAGTTTATATAGAAATTTTCTTCCCAGCATGCAGTCGATTCTTTCTTTTCCCAGTTACTCCTCTCCTTTCATGTCATATGGAGGCTCTTCCATATGAAGGGGATATTTTTTCTGTTGAAACATATGAAGGGGAGAAGCTACATTTGTAAGACTATGAATGGGATTAAAATTTTTATGAGCAATTCACTAAAGGTGCCAAAATGGTAAGTCGGTGTTAACTGGAGCCATTTAACTCCATTATCCATTCCACAATTTTGTATTATTCAGCACAGAGTGGGGATAAGAGTACGGGGAAAATATTACTATTGTCAACTAGCAGGATCTGCTCTCTGGAATCCCAAAGCTCTTCACGTTATTCTTGGCTTTTTTAACTTTTTCACATTATTGTTTTTTCATGTGAAATACATTTTATGCTCATATATTTTAGCAATTAATCTTAAATATTCACTTCACATTAATACAAATTATAATGCAAACAGACAGCAACGAAATATCCTAAGATCTCGCTAATCTTACATAATCACTTAATTAAACAATATATTAGTCATAAATAAACATATGAGTCTATTATTTTTACGTCTACGTTTCTATAAATAGGTGAGAAGAGGGTTATGAAGCCACCTCGTAACATGTGGGAACCTATCTGAGTCACAGAGAAAAAGTAATAGGTTTCCATTTCACCAAGTTAATTCTTTCTAATTAATCAGTGCTAATGTCTGTGGTTCTTTAAATCTTAGGCCAATCTGAATATTGAAATTAATTCATCTAACTTTTCAGAAGTTCTTTCTCTGACTTCCTCGACCTCGGCCTCGTAGGACGCAAGTGGGATGTTATGAATTATAGGGAAGTATGTTCATGGCTACTTTTGATACGAACCATTTCCTTTATTAATTGCAGGCTGCTCGGAATAATGTGCTTCTGGCTGTTCCAGCTCTGCTTTATGCTATTAATAACTACCTGAAGTTTATCATGCAGGTATATTTCTTTGTGGTTCCTCATTTGGATCTGTAGTATTAAAAGGTTTTCTGTGAGAAGTTTATCATGTTCTCATGGACTTACTGTCTTTATCTTAGATGGGAATGAATAGAACGGAATGGGTTATAGAGGTATTCATGTACCCAACTTCAACCAGCTTGGTATTGAGGCATAATTGATCGATATGGGCACTATCTTAGATATTTTGTTTCCAGTAGTGTGCTATTCTAGTATTATTAAGGAATATCATGTGCTTTCCAAGTTATAGATCTTTGTACATATAACTCAAAATGTACATTACAAGAATATTTTTTATAACCTATTTTCTTGCTCTAGATCACAAAGTAAATTGAGTATCTTCCTTGAAAGTTGAGAACTTTGGCAAGAAAATATTTCGTTGTCATTTCAAGTGGAAATGTATAACCTTCTGGATTTCTGATAATCTCTGTCTGTTATGACTATTTTCTTCAAAATCTTATGTTAAAGTACTGGTAATTAGGAATTCATGTCCTCTTGTCTTTGTACTTTTGTCTTATGCGCTTACTACCTAATCAACTCACTTTCTTGTCTAGTCCAAAAGTTCTGCAGTTTTGGTGCATGTTATTGGAGTAAAACTATCCCCTCACACTTCCTAATGACACTGTTGTTCTTCGTGCAGTTATATTTTAACCCTGCTACTGTAAAGATGCTGAGTAACTTGAAGGTATCCAATTGCTTATAGTTATTGCTGACACTGTCAGAGCTTGCAATTTCACGTGAGAATTCTACTGTAGTTTTGGTCCTAAAGTTATATCTCCCTGATGAATCTGCAAGTAGGCGTAGCTGATTACCCAGTGGATTTTACCAGCTAGATTAATTGCAAACTCTTTTTGCTAATCTTTTGTTGAAAACTACTCTGCTTCAATGATAGCTTTAATTGTGTAACCACAGTCAAATTGTCCGAAGATTGAATCTTGGAAGGATTTACGGTAGGTGTTAGATTTTCCACATATGTGCACTCAGGATTCAGTGGAAGATAAACATTTGTGCTTGTTTCTCTTTGGATGGTAGTGAGCTGGTTAGTCCTTATTTTCTTTGGGATATCGGTGGTGCCCAGGCCAACTGCACCTTGGCTGATCCATCAGGCAGCCTGTCTAATGCACAAGCATGGGTTGCCATAGTAATCCACCCCCCTAAAGCTGGAGTCGATGGGCTCACATCAAGTGTTGTAGTTGGAATTAGGTGGTGAGCTTGCTAGTCGTTTAATTGCGGCTTGTACTCAAGGATGCTGTGATTACTGCTTGAGTGCTTGTGATGCCTAATCTGAGGATTCACTTATTTCTTAGCATACTTGTGCCACATCTTTCCTTTTCTTCTGCTGGTAGATTTATTTTCTCGAAGTTTCTGTTGGTGACAATTTTTCTTTTTTATTTCGTCAAACATACAGGTTTTGGTAATTGCAATCTTGTTAAAGATGATTATGAAACGTCGTTTTTCCATAATTCAGGTCGGTTAAGGAAACAGAGGTTTGTTTATTAACTATTGTCACCTGTATTTAGTTGATCTTTAGATTTTGACCATGCTGTCTTTATGCATCTCTTTAGTTATCTATGAATGTCTAAACTAATTGGTCGCAGTGGGAGGCTCTTGCACTATTGCTTATTGGCATCAGTGTGAATCAGCTGCGCACTTTGCCGGAAGGTACAACAGCTTTGGGTCTTCCAGTGACAACAGGGGCATATTTGTATACCATGATTTTCGTAAGTATGAAAATAATTCTTAATGACTACTCATCAGTTCGCAGTGTTCCATGTTCATGCATATTCCCCCTTTTTTGGGGGGTCCTAAGAGAATACACATGGTTCACAAATAGTGCCACTTGTACTGGAAAAAACCTTAATGCCATATTTTCTTGGTTTTTCACCTGTTTGCCTAATTTAATGTATAGAAACTGATGCAATATAATAATTCAGGTCACTGTTCCTTCACTGGCTTCTGTCTACAATGAATATGCTTTGAAGAGCCAATTCGAGACTAGCATTTATCTTCAGGTGAACTTTTACTGGTGATCACTCCTAAAATGCTTTAAATCGCTGCAGTGAGTTTGACTTCATTCAACTGGTTCCCAGGCAAAACCATAGATATCTTCTCCTCCTTAGCTTCTTCTTCTTTCGTTTCCCATGGTTACTTCAGTGTCAGTTTGAACCATCACATAGAATTGTTATGGATTTGCTAATAATCAGGTTTTCCTGAGCAGTATCTTTGCTTGATGTAATTTTACAAGCTAATAGTATGATAATCTAGATGTTCCAAGTAGTGAGGTTCTTCTAACCTCTTGGTGTGGCTTTGCTTAATGGGTGTCTATGACTTTATAAATGATCCATGCAAACAACTGAACTGCTCTTTGCAGAATTTGTTTTTGTACGGATATGGTGCAATCTTCAACTTCCTAGGCATACTTGGAACTGCCATTTTCAAAGGTATGAACAGGAAATCTTGTCTCTGGGACTATTAGATGAAATACCATCCATGGCAGGATCCAAACTTGCTTATACTTCCCCAAGTCTTTTTGACTTGGCTAAAATGTTTATGGTGTATCAGTTCACCTCTACCATTGTTGGGACGTATCAAAACTTAATTTCCACCTTTACTCGTGGCTAAAATTCTGTCCCAAATGCTCTTTAGGACCTGACAGTTTGGATATCTTACGGGGACACTCACGAGCAACAATGTTCTTAATATGCAACAATGCAGCTCAGGGAATCCTGTCTTCGTTTTTCTTCAAGTATGCAGGTGAGGCCTCTCTCACTTATTTGGCTTCCCGAGTCGACGAAATGCAACATGTTTACAACCCATATAACCATCCATTTCTATTCCATAAAAGTTTTGGTGTTTTATAATTCTGTTGTATGTGGGACTCGGCTTTTTTCTCCTTAAATTTGGCCAATTTCTGCACTTCAAAAATGGATCGTCTCAATTTTTTAAGTATTCTGCATGTGCTATTGATTTTAGATTACTAGCTCTTACAAGGTAGGTCCAATCTGGTAGTGACTGACATGCAGATTTCATTTTTCCATGTTGTTTGTATGTCTTTTAAATTTTGTTAATTAAATGCATTAACTAATCATAGCTTCAATTTTTCCTTTGCAGATACAATTCTGAAGAAGTATTCATCAACTGTTGCCACTATTTTTACTGGAATAGCATCTGCTGTTCTGTTTGGACATACCCTTACTATGAACTTTATCTTAGGAATCTCTATTGTGTTTATCTCGATGCATCAGGTTATATTTGGATGCTGTTATCAATTTTGAGTGGCATGATCAATTTTTTGCTTGGGCTCACATCAAGCTTCAACTTTCAGTTCTTTTCACCTCTTGCAAAGGTCAGGGATGAGACACAAACCGACAGTTTGGGAATGGATTCTCAGAACAACTACAGGTGCACTCTTCTTTTATGTTTCAACTTTGTGAAAGCAAAACTGATATAGACACGAGATCAGTGTTACCCTACAACGTCTTATATCAACGGGCTTGTGAGATACTTATGTCTAGATTTGCCCTTTAGATTGTTTTGGACCAAGTACTTGTCATTCTTATGAGTCGGTATTGTCAAAAGTTTGTCTAAACCTCAAGAGTATGGAGATACTGGACCCAGGTTACAGTGTGTGTGTGTGTGTGTGTGTATATATATATATATATATATATATATATATATATATATATATAAGGGCAGCCCGGTGCACTAAGCTCCCGTGCATACCGCTACGCGCAAGGTCCGGGGAAGGGCTAGACCACAGGGGTCTATCGTACGCAACCTTACCCTACATTAGGTGTGTTCATGGTTTGGTTTGGATCGGTTTTTCCCTAAAAAGAAACCAAACCAAGTCGGTTCTTCAAATATTGGAACCAAACAAAGCCAATTAAGTTGGTTTTTTATCGATTCGGTTTTTGTTGTTTTTTTCGGTTTTTTTGGTTATTTATCGAATTTTTTCTTAAATATAAGACATACACTACCAAACACATTTTTCCGTTGACAACATTTTCAACGTAACACTATCAAACCAATTGCTTTTTGAGAAATCTATCATTTACCAAGATATATTGATGATAATTGAATCAAATAGCGATGAATAATTTAAGTACTCAATTAAAAATCGATTATTTTTAACATGAAATAAATTCTTGTACTTAGCAAAAAAAAAACTACCAATCAAGCTAGAATGTAAAGGCAAAGAATTAGATTATTATAGGACAAAATTACAGAATAATGCACTCCATAAGTTGACCTTGCACTATTTTAGCCCAGTTACAAGTTTGCAAATGTGTAGCCAAATATCAATAAGATCTTTTCTTTTCTCATTCCCTCTAATTATAACAACCTCATTTATTCCTACCTACTCCTATTTTAGCTCTCTCCTCATTTTTCACCGATAAATATTTAATTTAATTAATGAAAAAGAATCATATGCAAACAAAACTGAAAAGAAAAATTAGTTCCTCATTTAGTCAACACTCATTCGTGCCTTCTTCCATAACCAATACTTTTTTTTTTAAAGTTTGTATATCTTTAGGTTTATACATACCTATCACAACTGCAAAAACGCAAAAACGGACGCGAGAAACCTAAAATCTCATCTCCTTTAATGCTAATCTTGTTAAATTTCGATTATGATTTTGTGAGAAATTTGGAGTGGGTATTGTTTGAACTTATTAGAAATAGTCTAAGTAGGTTGTATACAAAGTTTGAAGTTATTTGCTGGAGATTTGGACTAAGTTTTATACAAGAATTGCAAGTGAAAATCGTACAAAAATTTCGTCAGCGATGCTTATACACTTTTATACAATGTTATACACTTTTATACAAAGAGGTACAGTATGTACATAGTTGTATAAAAGTGTATAAAGATGTATAATCACAGAGTGAAAATATTCTTGATACACTATGTATATAGGTGTATAAGAAGAATGAGAAGAAGAAGAAGAAAATGCGAGAAATTCACCAAATACCTGTAAATAATGTATCAACCTTGGATATAATAGTGTATAAGTTGTGTTTATACACTATTATATACTATTTATACAATATTATACATTATTATACAAAGGAATCCTATCAATGGAGGATCACGTGTTCTTCTTCTTCTTCCTTAGGCATCCTATGAAATTTAACTCAAATATAGCCTAAATCTACTCCAAATCACTTGAAATTTAAGTTTTGAACTTATCTTGATGATTCCAATCAATTGAGACAACACCCATTCCAAACAACTAACAAATCGGAAAACTTAATTTCTGAAATTTAACTAAAATATAGCCTAAATCTACTCCAAATCACTTGAAATTTGAGTTTTGAACTCATCTTAATGATTCCAATCAATTGAGACAACACCCATTCCAAACAACTAACAAATCGAAAAACTTAATTTCTGAAATCGAATCTTCAAACCACTTGTAATGGTGACTTTTATTTTTCAAATCCTTAGTTAACCATTGAAATCCGGAAAAGAATTGAAGGAGAATAACAATAGTAGAGAAATTTTGTGGTGCAAAGGCTGACATGGGAAGGGGAAGAAAAAAAGGGGAACGAAGAAATAAGGGGTGGGCTAACTGGTGAAAATTAATTTTCAGATTATGTACAACCTGGGCTATACTGGGTAAGGGCTTCAAACATGGGCCATTTTCTGATGGGTTATTGGGCCAAGTGACAAGGGATGTAATTCTCCCTTATTATAATAGCAAAGAACTAGACTAAAAATACAAACGACTAATATGTACCATAAAATTTTAGAAACTTTATATATATATATATATATATATATAGGTGTAATCATAAATTTAAATAGCTACTTCTATAGTCGGTTTGGTTCGATTTTTTTTGGTTATTTTTTGATTAAAACCAAAACCAAACCAAATTTGATCGGTTTTTAAAATTCAAAATCAAAACCAAACCAAACCAAACCTAAAAAGTATTGATTTTTTTGTCGGTTTGGTTCGGGTTTTCAGGTTCTTATGAACACCCCTACCCTGCATTTTTTACAAGAGGCTGTTTCCACGGCTCGAATCCGTGATCTCCTAGGCACATGGCATCAACTTTATTAGTTATGCCAAGGCTTCCCTATATATATATATCCTTTTGTATGCTAGTTGCAACTGGGTGAATCTTGGATGGATGAAACTTAATTGTATCTTGAAAGTAAAACAAGTTACGAAGAAGCGCATGACTTAATGACATCTCAACTTTGTTGCTGTCTTCACAAGATATCAGCAACAACAACAATAATAACCCAGTGTAATCCCACAAGCGGGACTGGGGAGGATAGGATGTACACAGCTTTACCCCTACTCTGGAAGGGCAGAGAGACTGTTTCCGATAGACCCTCGGCTAAATAAAAGACGAAAAAAGCGCTAATAGCAAGTAATAGCAAGACAATATATGTAGAAAACTAAATCCAAGATAGCAATAAAGAACATGAAAGAAGTACTGATAGCAAGTAACAACAATACATGTATGTAGTGATAGCAAACTAAGGGAGTACTGGTGGCAAGTAATAACAGTACAAGATATGCGATAATAGCAAACTAAGGATAAAAGGGGTATCATACTAACACTAAATACTAATACTATTGAACTAATGAAGACAAAGGGAAACGTTCGACTACCCACTAACCTTCTACCCTAATCCTCAACCTCCACACTCTCCTATCAAGGGTCATGTCCTCGGTCAGCTCAAGTTGCGCCATGTCCCGCTTGATCACCTCTCCCCAAGACTTCTTTGGCCTACCTCTACCCTTCTTCTTATGCATCCCCCCCCCCCCTCGCACCCCCTGACTGGGGCATCTGTGCTTCTCCTTCTAACATGCGTGAACCTTTTTTCAATAGGGAATACCTTTTAGTGACTGCTAGCAAAGCCTACGAAATGATAAGTAATTGGCAAATGAAGAACGGAGAAAAAGGGAGTTTTCATGTCAAAAACTTCAAAATAGGGAATATCCTCCAGTTCAGAATTGGAAAATTTGAAAAGGAAGAAAGAGGACAGCATTTGAGTGAGAATCCTTATTCATAAGATCAAGAGCTCTTTTTGTTTGTTATCAGTTTTTGGGCCAACCAGAGTATTAGCCACTATGTTGATGCATGACTTGATTTACTAGAGGCATTGAGCCTCACCTATTTTTTTGCACTGCCCTGGTGCCTTTCTAATATATTCTCTGAATTATGAAAGTAAATAGGGAATTTCCTCAGGGTTCTCGTTTCCAAGAGCAGAGAGGGCTTAATGATTTATTTTGAGTGGCCATGGAATCAGAGGGAGTCAAGATGAAACAATTGCTTCTTCTGGTTCAATGGAGCCATTAAACAATTGTTTTGTTTTTAGTTTCCATTAAACTATTATTTTTGTATATATGGTCTTATTAACTATGCAGGTGTCTTAGAAAAACATATTTATCACTTTGATGCATGTTGTGCGAAGTCTTTAGTCTTTGTGTTGCCTTATCTCACTACACATTTGATATCATCATTCTAGTGCTTCTTCTTTGAAAGAAAATTTGAGTGCTTGATCTCTACAGGTCAAAGGATGGATCCTTCATAAATATGGCCGCCGGAGCAAATGAAGATGTAAGACTCTGATAAACTTGCAAAGACCTTTTTTCTTGTTTTTTTCAGAAGATTATGCATGCATGTACTCCTCTCATCTTTTACGACAATTTACAGGCTACCCATCGTGTTGGACCTGATGAGAAAGAACCCCTTCTTCCACGTTAGGTATTACAGGTATGCACTCTCCTGGCACTCTTTTGCCCTGTTGAATGATATCTGCAATATAATGATTACATTTGCAGTCTCAGTTGTCAGACAGGTTGATACATAGCGGACTTTCAATATTTAGTTGATATGTTTCAGCGTCTTTGATGGGTGGTTTTAGAGAAGGTGTTAAGACCTGTGTCATTTACTAATATGCCCTGGCCAAACTTTAGCTCTGCTATATGATCCCGTTTAAATTGATGATGCCTTTAGACAAATCAGGTTTATATCTAAAGTATTTGGAACAACCTACTCTATGTTCCTAATTAAATATTCAATAATATTATCTTAGCATCTCGTTCATGTATTTGGCTGAAGCCCACATGCAAGACTCTTTGTCTTTTGTCAATGGATGTAGGCATTAGCCAGTGATATCATTGTATTTGTGTAGGATTTCCATAGCCTTAAAAGTTAAAACCTCCTAGTTGCCAACCTTGTACATTTTTTTACAACGGTAGCTGGGCCACTGCAACTTTATCTGGGATTTGACTTTGAACCTAAACCTTCCTGTGTATATGAGCTAGAGTTGGTTCTAGGAAATTCAAATTTCTTGATAAATAATGAATTATGATGTGCTCGGGGTATTTCCAAACGTGGCAGGATTGTTACTGGAGAAACATCTTTGGCTGGTCGGTATAGAGAGGATTTTGGGTCATCTCCTTGATATTTAACATCAGTACGCTAAGACGATTCTTTTCAGCCTCCAGATAGGAACAATTCTCTTCCTGAGAATTTACAATAGCTCTTTTTTGTAGTATGAAATGAGGGTTTCAGGAACAACAGTCGTTAATATTGGAGTTCCAGATGATCTGTATCATCCGTTTTTGCATAGAATTTAGCTCATAACCCGGACATTATTATCACGTATGTCACGAATTGCATGTAAAGTATATTGTCTTGCTAGCTGCGTTAGACTTTCTGCATGCACATTCTCTGTAAATTTGTCCCGTGAAGTCAAGTTAATGAATAATAGTAATAGATCTTAGCCACTGCTCTCTCTCTCTCTCTCTCTCTCTTTCTCTCTCTCTCTCTCTCTCTCTCACACACACACACACACGCAAAGCACTTTTCAATCAAATTTTTTTGTTGAAGGATTAGCATCAGAATTTTTCAAAATTCTTGCAAATATCTATGCTCGTTCCTTGAGCCGAGGGTCTATCGGAAATAACCTCTCTATCTCTATGAGGCAGGGGTAAGGTTTGCGTACACACTACCCTCCCTAGACCTCATTTATGGGATCAAATTGGGGTTTTGTTGTTGTTGTTGTTGCAAATATCTATGCTATATTAAAAGCACGAAGTTCCTGAGCGAAATGTCGTTCACTTTATCCTTTAAAAATAGACTTTACATTGTACATTAGACAAAATCGTAATTTAGTCATTTTTTCTAATATTTAGGACTTTGAAATCAGTTAAAATTTGAATTACGTAGGAAATTTTAATATTTAGGACATTAAAAAAAATATTATTTTGGAAAAATTAGGAGTATACGTTTCTTTTCCATTACATTTGCTTTAGTGTCAAACTTTCAATGAAATTTTTAATATTTATTCTTCTTATAGGGTACTTAAAATTCTAAGGGGAAGCTTCTGTATATTAATTCTATTAAAAGTAAGAGGTTTATACTTAATTAAGTATTTCTTAAATTAGTGAATGTAGATTTCAAATATCATACAAAGAAATTAATAAAGAGAAAATATTATGCGAGTAGGAAGGAGTTAAAAAATTATCCATATTTTTGATATAATTATAAAAGTAAAAATCCCCAATGCGGAAAATTTTAAAAAAAAAAATTAAATATTAAGAACAAATAATTGAGTCTTTGAATTAATTACTCCCTCAATTCAGTTTATGTAAACCTTTTAACTTTTTGAGATTCAAACTATATAAACTTTGATCAAAATTTTAAAATATTTTTTTATCATATTGGCACAAGAAGAATTGTAACTTATAGTATTTCTCATATAGTTATTGAATATTTAAATTTAACTTTAAAGTATCCAGTTAATCTAATCTAATTTAACTTCAAAGATTAATTAAATTAACTCCTGAAAAGCGAAAAGATTCAAAGGAAATAATTAGCAACAATAATTCAATTTAATTCTTTTTCAACATATCATACAAGTAAAATTATTTTTTAAATTGATAAAACTTTTAAGGTACATAAATTTATGTGCACAATAAATTTATGTGCACAAGAAGAACACTGATGGTGAAAGAAATAAAAGCATAGAGCAAGTTTCAGTATGTTATAGTTTTAACTTGTTAGTATTTGTTTTCTGTCTCAGGTAATAAAAATAACAATAATTTCCATAAGGTATCCGCGTATGTCTTAAGAAATAACAATAATGCACATGTGAGACAGACTTTTTTTATTTATTGAACTAGCTAAATTGGATCAATATTTATATTTTTTAGGAGCTTGGATCTTTTTTTTGTTAATTCAATAACTCAAATAAATAATTTAATATAGTTACCTAATCTATCTATTTTATATACTATATATTAAAAGAATGAAGGCCCTTAGCGAAATGTCGTCGCCTTTTTGTTACCCTTTAAAAATATATTTCACATTGGATAGAATTGTAATTTAAATTATTTTTCTAATATTTAGGACTTTTAGGTCAACTAAAATTTAATTCTTAAATCTTTACATATTGAACTAGGCAAGAGGTCCTAATATTTAGAACTATTAATCCCACCCAACTAATAGCTTGTTTGGCCAAGCTTCTAAAATCAGCTTATTTTGAGAAGTGCTTTTCTCAAAAGTACTTTTAAAAAAAATGCTTTTGGTGAGAAGCAGTTTGTGTTTAGCTAATTAATTTAAAAAGCACTTTTGAGCAGTAATTAGTGTTTGGCCAAGCTTTTGAAAACTGCTTCTAAGTGTATTTTTCTCAAAAGTGCTTCTCAGAAAAGTGTTTTTGGAGAGAAGCTAGTTTTTTCTGCTTCTCAAAAACTGCTTCTGCTTTTCCTGTAAAGTACTTTTTTTCCTTCCAAAAGTTTGGCCAAACACCTCAATTTTTGGCCCAAAGTGCTTTCGACCAAAAAAACCCTTTTGGCCCAAAAAAAAAGGTTGGCCAAACAGGCTATAAAGATATCCGAACGTTAATATTGTGGCTTACATTCGAGAACAAAATAAATAAGTCAATGACTTACATAAATGTTGACATTTTGGCTTAAGTTGTCTCCTTTTGCTTTTGATATTTTACTTAAACTTAATTCAATGTTGAGAACAAAATAAATAAGTCATCAAACTAATTTAACAAAAAAACTTCTTTGTATCAACTAATTAGTTAAAATCCAATTTTGATCTTCTCCAAATTCACCATATGAATTTGTTTCTTATTTGAAGAATGCAATATAATTGTAATTCCTTTCATGTTATAGTGTAATATTAAAAACCGGGAAGAGATCATATTAAAATTTTGAATTAAAAAAAATTAAATTAGTTCTTTAATATTGAGAAAAAGATTGATCACGTCAAACTATGCCTTATAAAAGACAAAGCGGTCGTTGCAAATATAATCCGGTTTACAAGTTCGGAGTCGAATCCTCAGGAAACTAACTTATCTATTACAACTCTTAGTGATGCTAGTACAAGCTCAAACAATTTCCGAATGCAAGACTTTTATCAATAAATATTGGGATTTGCTTAACTAAAGTAAAATGATATTAAAACTAACAATATTCCAAATTACAGATAATTCAATGGTAAAAAGATCTGGGGTATTGATTTCCCCAATTCCTAGATTAATTCTTAACTCTTTTGCTCTAATCTCGCCGTAATACTCTATGAGGATTATGAGCTATGGGTTACCGCAATTATCTCTCGATCAACTACGATAATTTACTAGAGCATTCTCTCGAACTACTCTGGCTGATAATTTATGCAGCTCTGAATTATCCCACCAAAGTTTCGTTATTTCTAACCCCACTTTTAAATTCAAGTAATGAATCTCTTCAATTACCCAAAAGTGGTGTTGTTCAACAACAGTCTAACCTAGTATTCTTTCTCAAGCAACACAAGGCTATTAGACACGATTAATCAATGGCCCATTCAATTAATCACCATACAAAACATAGTTGAACAATCATATAACAAACCCGGCTCGATTATAACAAAATTGAGTCAAAACTTCATCTAACAATTTGGTTCCATCAACCCTAGATTAAATGTTTAGCTACTCATAATTATTTTCATAATCACAACAGCAACATTCATAATCAATGATCAACATAAAAGGAAGAAAGATAGAACTCAATGCCGAATTTTCTTCCTTGCCTCTTGCCTCTTCTTGCCTTCAACAAAACTATAAAAACCTTGATACCCTCTCTTTGGGTGACTTGGGCTTCTTATATGTTAAGGAGAGTTGCCCCCGAACTTACGATATTACCCCTAGAAATAAGGTTCAGCGAATTGACAAGCGCGACCGTGCTTGGGCCGCGCATATCGCGTTCTATTCTGCCTGGACTAGCGCAGCTGAAGCGCGCCCGCGCTCATGAGGTTCAGCTGTTTTCTACTTTTCTCCTTCTTTCACGCGCATTCACCTCCGAGTAGCTTTCCTTGCTCCAAATTAGATCCAAAGGTTGTTCAATGTCCTCATAATCAACACTTGCTCCTGCAAAGTACAAAAACCTCAATTAGAGCATTTTGTTATCATTTAGCACTTAAAACATCAATAAAGTATGGTTAACTTCGAGCATAAATAGCATCTACAATGCATAATATAGGCTACTACCAACACCACACACTTAAACCGTTGCTAGTCCTTTAGCAACAAAACCACACTCTATAGGCCTAATCATCACCGGGTCACTTCCCTACTCCTTATACCAAGAATAATTCACATAGATAGACTACCTTAGCGTAACATCCTAACCTCAAGAGTGGACTCTCTCTCTAGCCACGTAATGTCCCTAACCGGCTTTCATACTCTCAGTCAGAGGTCTAGACTTACCTTCCCTTCATGAATCACGTGCCTACTCACCACAAAAGAGGGTTGTGTAATGGTCATTATAATTCACACACTGAGGAATTCAAATACATAAGATTTCACTCAGCCTCAGAAATAAATTCTTATGCCACAAACAACGCACCATAGGCTTGCCCGTAGTGTAATACTCGACTAATCAAGATCATTTGATCTAGAATCAAGTAGGACTTTATTTAGTTGTAATGTTGGTTGCGGGACAGGTAGGATACATATGGGTATAGTGATTACACCTCCCTAAGCACTTCAATACATCTTTCACTTTTAAACCCATACATTTGTCAAACCTTCATTCCACCTTTACATCATTGAGTTAAACCCCCTACTTCCTTTAAGCACACTTACATCAAGAGTCACCACTTAGAAAGGAATATATATATATATATATATATATATATATATATATATATATATATATATATATATATATTCCAATTCAAGTGGCTCTTATTTTCTTCTCAACACCGTGCACCTTTCTCCTTATTTCATTAGCTCCACTCAAAATCCCAACCAATCACCCCACACTTTAACTTTTCCATATTCATTACAGTTCAAGTGCTTCTAAGAGGTGATAGGGTTCAAAAAAATAGACAATTCACAACTTGGGTAAGGCTTTTAATGTGGTTGCCAAAGAAACATGATTACAGGCTCAAAGGGGTTAACTAGGGTATACACAATCAGGTGGGTGAAAACATATATAGATAGGTTCAACAAGGAAACGCCTATATCACTTTTTAGACCACTTAAGACTACCATTTCGCTTCGTACACACATAGGGCAAGTTCTAGGCATTGAGTGTTAGCATAGAATACACAAAGCCTCACTCACACATGGTACATGACTCAATTCAGTTAGGACCATCAGACACTCTGCTCAAGGTGCTTAAGCCAACTCAAGAACACACATTTTAAGGCTTTATTGCTAGAGTCAACTAGTGAGCCTAAGTGTCACATTAAAGCAATCTCTATTTTTCTTCGCCCAAAAATTCCTAAACCAAAAAAAAAA